CAGCTCCGTGTGTGTGTGTGTGTGTGTGTGTGTGTAAGCTGTGACACTGAGAGATCATTTGCTCACGTGGCCACTGGAAAGTTGGAAGCCAAGTGCTTCATTTTAAAAATAGTTCTTCTGTTTAAAACAGTTAGGTCTCCAAACAGACGAGCAGGCTCTGTGCCAGCCTCACATTAGATATCTCACCTTTCTGAGGTATCTTTTGAAAGTGTATCTGGGGGTCTTTATTACACTTAATCACACACGTACGCTTGTTGAAAGATTCCCACGTCTTTTGAAAAAGTGTTGAAAAGTCTTGTTGGATGCGTCTCCGATGACACCTGTCAAACTCTGCCACTTGATTTGTGTCACTGAGTTTGTGACACTTGTGTCCCTGCAGGCAACAAGCTCATTATGACGCCATGGATAATGATATCGTTCAGGGGGCAGAGGACCAGGGTGTCCAGGAAGAGGAAGGTGGCGGTAAGACTCCTTAGATGAGGCATGTTTTAATACAGCGGCGTGGTGACATCAGGCAGTACCCGTGAACCGGTGTCACGCTGTGTCAGTGAGCTGCATGCTTACCTGAGGATGTGCAGGGGAGGTTTGTGAGTCGTGTGTCTTTTGTTGGTGTTGTGTTCTTGCGTTTTTGTACGTTTTCCTCAATCGTGCAGACTGGCAGTGAAAATTGCTCTAACATGTTCCCTGCCATTTAAGCTTTTTATGTAGTAAGTGGTTATTTGTGACAAATTACCATCAAGTGATGATGTTTTGGGAAAGTTCCACATACTCTTCTTATCTTTGTACCCCTGGCTTAAAGTTTTCTCAGATTCGGTCATGAGTAGCTTTCATTTGTGGCAAGTATCTCGTGTGTAACATGTCAAATACTACTCACTCTGATTGTGAGCAGAAGGTAACTGTCTTTTCAGCACCACTAACACCTGGATGTGTGTCCTTAAACTAGGAGAGTTTAAGGGAGAATGATTAATTGCACACAGCCTCCCTCAGTGGCCTGGTATGGTAGCTCATGACTTTTTTTTTGAGTTGGAGTCTCACTCTGTCGCCCAGAATGGAGTGCAGTGGCACGCTCCTGGCTACCACAGACTCGACCTGCTGGGCTCCAGCGATCCTTTTGCCTTAACCGTCCGAGTAGCCGGAACTACAGGCAGGCACTACCCCGCCCGGCTAGTTTTTGATTTATTGTAGAGATGAGGTCTCGCCAAGTTGCCCGGGCGGGTCTCGAACCCACGGGCTCAGGCAATCCACTCGTCTCAGCCCCCCAAAGTGCTGGGATGACAGGCTGAGCCACGGAGCCCTGCTACTCATGACTCTTAGAGTCAGGAAACGGTTGCCTTTTGTCTCCCACGTGACACTTCAGGCTCTTTTGTCCTGCGACTGGTAAGACTGGAGAATGTCTGTCTCTTCCTTCCTTCACGAGCCCCCAGTGCGCGTGAAGCCTAGCAGTGAGGGAACCTGCGTCGCGTTCTCAACACACTAAGCGCTCGCTTCGCCTTTCCTCGAGAGTCTGACTTATTTTAGAGAGCAGTCTGTTCTTCTCTGGGTTGCTCCTATAGTTGTTTTTATCTGAATGTTTTCTCAACAAGCAGCAGGCAGCTGTCTGTGTGTGTTGCGTGTGCCATGTCTGTGCCGTGATGTCAGCAGCTCAGTCAGAGCCCTTGTGGCAGGCTGTGTGGGTCTGAGCTTCTCGGATGGGCTGCTTCTCCATTTCCTGAGACGTTATCCGTTTCTTCTTGGGAGCCTCACTGTTTCTTCTGCTAATACCAAAAGTTAGTTGGCTGTTTGAGCAATGTCCAGTCAACTGGGCTTTGTTTTACTGGGAACGTTTGATTGTTGCTGTCTTCTTGCATAATAAGGGGAGATCGCAGCCCCTGGGAGAGTCCGCTGAAGGAGGCGTTTCATTGGACTCGCGGTGGGCTGATTGCAGTTCCTTTGACTCGCTAGCTTATGAACGAGACAGCCAGCACCAAGATGACGGAGAGGGAAACCCAGGTCACCGGCATGAGTCTCGTGAACAAGGGCCCCGAGAAGCCGACCTGGAGCCTGAAGCCGATGTAAGTGTCCCCCTTCCTCTCCCGGCACCAGGAAACCACAGGGTGGGGAGGAAACCTGCAAGCTGACCTGATGCCAGCCTCTGCCCCAGGTGTGCCTGTTATTCACCAGCATAGGAGGGAAGTGATGGGGAACTCTGCGTGAGCAGTGTTTAAGCTCTAAACCTTGGTTCAGGTGTGTGGGCTGAGACCGGGCAAAAGGTCACCCTTGAGAGGGGACACAGAGTGTTTCCTCTGATGACTTTCAGCTTAAAAAAATTAAAACCTAGGGCATCCGAGAGGCAGAGAAATAGGTGGTGATTCTGAATGGTGGGGAGCGAGGCAAGTGTGGAAGCAGTTATGGGACCAGCGGCGGAGCTTTGCCTCTCGAGCGCAGCCTGCGGGCTCAGGTGACGGGTGACTGATCCCAGCTGTCAGTGGCCGCTGTAACAGGCAGATAGAGAAGGGTGAGCAGCTTAGGCGTGAAAAGGCCTGTCCAGGTCCCGTGACGTGGAGATGTGTTCTGTGACATGGAGATGTGTTAGCAGGTAGACATGGGGTGACCAGCAGTGTGCTGCGTGTTGACCCAAAGAAGACCGAGACCCCAGTTCAGCCAAGTGGTTCCAGTGCTGCCAGTGAAGCTGGTGCGTCTGTCCCTGTGTGCGGGTGGCTGTTAAAACTGACATCGGCTCTCCTGGCAGATTTTTGTCCTGGGACGCCCTGGCCTTCTTGCCATGCCTTCTAGTTAGGACTCATGATGCTTACCCCTCCCCCTCTCAGCAGTTGTGTTGGCGTGTGCCAGCTAGGCCTGCCCTTGCTACTTGGCTGCAGTCACCTGGTGCACTGTGTGCACTTGTGCAGAGATTGCTTGACACTGTTTTCCTGAAGAGAACATACCCTGTTTTCCCCATATTCTCACACGGATCCTGATAATGCACCAGAGGAGATCCACAGGATGGTAGGCTGGAGTTTGGAGTCATCGGGGCTCCATGTGATGGCGACTGCGTGGCCAGCAGCGGTGACGTTTGCACTTGAAGCGTGTGGCCAGGAGATGAGTTGAACTGCAGTGTACTCCTGGGCGTGCTCGGGCTCCTGAGTGAGGTGGTCTCATCTGGGGATGCCGAGAGACCAGGCTGTAGGACGTGTCTGCGATGACAAGCCTTACCCTTCCTGCCCATCTCAGACTCTGAGGTCAGAATCTGTGAGGATGCGTTTCACCTGGAAGGCACTCGGGAGATGAAGTGGAGAGTTGGAGTAATTTTGGAGTTGATGATATGAAGCATTTGTGGAACGCGGTCCCCAAGAACGCCTTGAGGGGTGATGGGTGTAGGCGAGAGTGTCCGTAACATGTAAAAAAAACCCTGTCAGCCAGTTGAGGCGCGTGGTTCTTTTTTTCTCCCATCCCTGGCCAGTTCATGTGTCAGTTTCATGGTTTGCTAACAAACCAGATTCAGGCTAGAAATCGACCGTTTATTTTGCATTTGTCTTGCCTGTCTTCTTGGATCCTCTTCAAAGCCCTGTCTTGTGGGGGGGTCCCTCCCCGCCCCAGTTGCTTACGGGGCAAAACCACATGTAGAGGGAGCTGTGTCTGCAGAAAAGTCAGTATGGCCAGGGACAGATCCGTTGGCCGGATAAGTCTCCCACCTCAGCTGGTACTGATGTGCTCGGCCCCCTTGGTCCTCTGACTTCCGCCAGCTGCCTTTCTTGGTGTCTGTTCAGCTTTGCTCGAGTTGCTCGTGCCAATGGGGTCTTGAGGACTGTTTTGGAGTCACTTGCAGGAAAGATGGGCTGTGTACACTTAATTTTATCCATCAGCTCCCGACAAGTAAAGCAGGAATGTTCTCTTGTTGGCGGGTGTGAGACTCTCAAGTCTCAGCAGGGCCATAACTGGGCAAGCCAGCAAAGGGCGGTCTCTTGATGGCAGGTGCTGGACACTCAAGTCTCGGCAGGAGGGAGCTGGGTGAGCCGGTGACGGCTGTGTCACATTCTGCACGTGTGGCCTTCCGAGTGATGGCAAACCGCCCCTCAGTTCTGAAGCGGTGGCTGCTCTTTGTTAAAACCTCGCAGAGGGCGGCCGTGGAGGATATAAACCCGGCAGATGACCCCAACAACCAAGGTGAAGATGAATTTGAGGAAGCTGCGCAGGTGCGAGAGGAGAACTTGCCGGATGGACACGGGGAGCCGAGGCAGACTCAGCAAAACCAGGAGGAGGCGGACATGGAGGAGCACTTGGTGGTGAGAGCGGCCAGGGGTGGATCTGGGCATCTAGTGTACATGCCTGGGGCACTTGGAGGTGAGAGAAGCCATGGGGTGGGTCTCCCAGCATCTAGGGCGCACCTGGAACACTTGTGGTAAGAAAGGCCAGGGGCGAGTCTCCAGGTGTCAAGTGCACTCTCCTGGGTGTGTGGAGGTGAGAGTGTTGATTGGGACAGGTCTACCAGCATCTAGGGCACACCTGGAGCACTTGGTGGTGAGAGAGACTGGGGGCGGGTCTCTGGGCGTCTAGTGCACGTGCCTAGGCCCTTGGAGGGGAGAGTTGGCAGGGGCAGGTCTCCAGCAACTAGGGCACGCCTGGAGCACTTGGTGGCCAGTCTCTGGGTGTTGAATGCTCACCTGTGGGTGTCTGGGTCAGCTGTGTGTCACGTGGGCTGGAGGTGGCACACCTGTGGGTCTGAGACCTACGCTGCAAGCGAGGGATTGGGCGTCCTGGGCTTCGCATCAGAGGCAGCCACCCGTCTCCTGGCCGCGGCACCTTGGGGTGTGCCATCCGCGTGGCATGAGTCTCATTCGTCTCCGGTGCACATGAGGCATCTGTGGGAACGGCAGCCCCAGCCTCCCCTCTCGTTTCAGCAGGTGGCAGGAAATCCGGACCAGCAGGAGGACAACGCTGACGAGCAGTACCAGGAGGAGGGGGAGGAGGAGGTACGGCTGGACGGACTGCTGGGTTGTCACCCTGACCTTGACCTCACACTGATCTCAGCAGTGGTGACATTGGCCCGCTTTGGTGGAAATGTGCAGGGAGCCTTCTGCAGGACATGAAGGGGGCTTTCAGGGGACATGGGCCCTGGCAGGGAAAAGCCGGACCACAGACCCCGTCTCTCCGATCCTCCCCAGAAGTGTTGGGAAGACGTTTGGCTTTCCAGGATTGGTGGGCTGAGGTGACTGGGTTGTTTACAGGAGCATTTTCTCTCGTCTCCCCTGCACGTTGAGGGAACCTGACTCACCTCGTCTGCCCTTCACAGGACACCCCCAGCCATGTGCACAGGGGACACTCAGTAGTCTCTCCTGGCCTTTTTCCTCATCAGAGCCCATCTTAATTAAGCGTGGCACATTAGGGAGGAAGGACACGCAAGGAGCTCCACTGAGTAAAATGCACCAGGACAGGACTTTTTAGTTCATGTCTCCTTTTAGTTTACTTTTGCTGCCAACTTCTGGCTTCTTATGGTTCATTAGAGTTCCAGAACTGTCGTGTGCCACGGTCCTGTAGGTGACCAGGGGATGCCATCTGTGCTGCCACGTTACCACAGCACCCTGCCATGTGGACCACAGCAACACTTGGGAGTCTGATACCAGTTAGGCTGAGGCCCCATGGCTGGTCTCTGTGGCCCAATAGATAGTTCCGCAGTTACAACCCTGGCTCAGAGCCACTTCCCAGCCAGGTGTCATCAGATTTGCGACTCTGTTCCCGGTGCCCCTCCTAAGAGCACGGCTGCCTGTCAGTGGGCACAGGTCTACCCCCAGGAGACCTCAGAATGTACGTGCTCTGGCTTCCGACAGGGCCCGTATACCCACCCTCTGCCCGACCCTCCCCGCCCCCGCTACTTGCCTCAGCTTAGCCAGACTGCCGCGAGCTGTGCGTGCCTGGGCCAGGACAGAAAGGGCATTGCTCTCAAAGACCAGCAGTAGAGAAACCCGCAGCCTTGAATACGGAGATAAGAAAAAGGGCTTCTTCATCTGGGCTGCTTATACCAGGACGCCTAGATGAGTGTGACTTTGTTTTCTTGACATCAGATGCCAGGAATCCTGGCGGGATCAGAAGAGAAAAGGTTCACCTTCCTTTAGAAAAATTCAGAAGGGGATACTTGAAGGTCTAATCAGTGTTTGCTGACTCCTTGTCACCTGGGTGTTGTAATCAGTCAAGGTGGAGGAGAGAAATATCGAGATGCGGGCAGCATCTGAAAAGGAAGGAGGGAAAGACAGAGGCGAGAGGGAACGGGAAACTTGGGGCAAGGGAGGAGGCCATGGGCTCACACCACCCAGACCCGGCCACCCCCGGGCCACTGCTCCCGCCCAAGCCTGGGCCAGGGGCGCGTGCTCTTCTGTACCTGCTTGTCTTGTGTCTTACACAGTGCCACCCAGGTCTGACTGCTGTGTTTCCAGCCCCCTCCCGCACAGGCTCTGGGTCCCACCCACGTCCAGAACCTGCGCCCCTTGTGCAGGCTGTCCTTGTGTTCCTTCCTGAGCCGTCCATCCCAGTGTCTCCCAGTTCCACCCACTACCCGCGGGTCTTCCCTGAGCGGGATGGGGTGGGCCCAGATGCCACCAAGGCGCTGGTGACAGAGTTGCAGCCCTCAGCTGGCTGTGCAGGGAGAGCACTGGAGGCACGTGGGTGTGGGAGCACCGTGGGGTGGCCTGCGAGGCTGCATGTGTGGGCGGTGGCATCTGGACACCCAGAGGCCGTGAGAGCCAGGGCACTGTGCTTCCTTTCATCTCCTCAAACCTGAGTCTCGCAGCCCTCCTGCCAGCCAGGATAGACCTCCCTCCCCCGACACTCCCCTCTTGTCCAGCCCACAGTCTAACTGCCAGCATTTGCTCTGGGAGGAACTTCACATTGCCGGGCAATCCTTGTTCCAAGATGCAGCCGGCAGGCTTACAGGCTTGACCTCTGCAGGACCCAGACAAGTGGAACTGAGGAAGAGTGCCCTGGCCTGCCCTCTCTTCCCTGGGTCAGTGGGGCAGTCTTTATAGGCATCAGCATAAGAGGGATGCCCAGTGTTCCTTGCCTCTTGTCTGGGATTGTTGGAATGAGAGGCGCGCGGGTTCTGACCCCTTCCTCAAGCTGCGCATGTCTCCAGTGTTTCACCTGCTTCTGAGCAAACGAGATTAGTGACAACAGTGCCAACAAGTGCTGTGAATGCTTATGATTATTTAAATGTTCAAAAAACTTGCTTCAGTGACTGCTTGAAAAATGCCTAAATTTCCCCAATGGAACTGAAGGCAGTCATGCTCAGGAGAGAGAAAGCACCCGGTCTTCGCCCATCTTCGATGGCCAAGTGTGCGCCCACAGCTGCCAAGTGTGCGCACTGCTATACCAGAACCAGCCCCGAGGCACCCTGTCAGGCACTCTCCTGTTCAACACACTCGGCAAGCCTGGTGCCTGCCCCGTGTTGCCGTGGGCCTTTGGTCAGTCATATCCCTCCCATCTTGGATCCCTGTGCCGCAGCCTCCCTCAGGCTCAGCCTGCAGTCCAGGCCAGCCGTGATGACCTTGGTGTGGGGCGCATAGGGCGGGAGCTGGCCAGGCCCACCTTGTCTTCAGGGCGTCCGCTTCATTCTGTTTTGGTTATTGATCAAGCGCTGTGTTGTCACCTTGTTTCTAAACGCCTGTGGCGTTGGGCTCCAGTGGGTGACCCGCGGTGACAGCACCATGTGGGCTTCAGCGGGGAAGGGGGTGGGCACAGGTGCCGTCTCGTTACACAAGCCTGGCGGCTGCTGGCATGAGTCCTCACGGAAATCGACAGGCAGAGGTGTGACGGTTGGTTAGAAACACCGCTCTTTCACGGATCAGTTAGAAACCCCATGCCACCACGTTCCTTTTCCATCGTGCCTTTAAGATGAGTTCCAATTACTTTGCCCCAAACATGAAAAATATGTTAGTAGAATAATAAAATGTCCCTAATTGTGTTTTCTCCACATGTCTGGAAAATTGCAACATTTTTACTTGTGGGTTTCCTAAATTAAAGAGTCACTTAAACCTAAGCTCATCCTGACACCGGGTAGCCCCGTGAGGGTTTCACAGCAGGTTCCACGGGTGGAGAAGACGGTACCTAACAGGCTGATCATCGCCTGGTCTCCAGGCTCCCCTGTGTTACATGGAAGTGGTTCTCAGTCTTCTCTGTGGCCAAGGTCGCCGTGAAGAGCGTGACAAACACAAGTCTCGGACCTGACCTTGCCTTGGAGGATCTGGTCTTGTCTGTTGTGGAATTGAGAGGTGCGAGCTCTTCGTAACGCCTGGGCTGGCAGTTCAGGACCACACTGTTCTGAGTGGTTTTGGGCAGCCCACTGTGAGTGCCCTGGAAAGGCCAACCTCCATCTGGGTAGCTGTGCCCATTTGCTAGAGACTTTCTTGCCAAGGTCTTAAGGGCCCCATGACGTCCCAGTGACACACAGAAAATGAAAGGTCTTTGGTTTTCATCCAACCTTTTTATTTTGCAGATAACAAACCTGAGCTTCAGAGAGGTTAAATTTTTAAAGGTCACTCAGCTTGTTGTTAATCGTTAGAAACATAATTAGGGATCGCCCAGGTCTGATTTTTTTTTTTAAGGCTACCACAATTGGGTGTACCAGGCATGCTAACCATATAGTTAATATAGGCAAGTTTTCTGCAGAAATTAGTGCAGAAAGAATAGCTAACAGTTACCATTTTTTTGTCACCTCTAATTCTTTTAAGCAACAGTCATCTAGGTGATGTCCTCTGCCAGGGAGGGTTGGGCATCTGAGCTCATGCCCAGCCTTGGCCCTACCAGAAATGGGACACACAAAAATATTTGCATGCTGTCTTTGATTTACATTTTGGGGTCAATTATTGGGATCAATTAAACAGTAATAATAGTGTGTATAAGGGAAAACTTCTTAAAACAGAAAGATTGTATTAGAATACTAAGGAGATGGATGTGTGAGGTAGTTGAATAGACTTTTGTGAAGAAATTACAGTGGCCAAATTCTGTTTCCTAGGTATCTCCAAACAGAGAAATTTGTTATAGAATAGAGACATCAGTTTTCCCCTCCTGGCCGACAGGCAGTGGTGTCTCTGTTTTGACCTTCATGGAAGAGTCTGTTTGCCTGTATTCGTGTTTAGTGACCCGCCTTCCCAGTGTGCCTTAGGCCATGCAGCAGTGTGCTCAGCATGTGCCTGGGCACAGAGGACCGTGATAGAGGGAGAAAGGCAATTTCCACCTTCCTAGAACTTCCGGGTTTCCACTTTCCCTCCCACTTGGAAAAGGGGAACTTTGGATGGTGTAAGTGAAACTTCTTCGGGTGTGTTATACTTGAAGTGTGAACCCACACGCAGAGAAATCGGAAATTCAGACAGACCAGTTATCGATTCAGCATCCGTCCCATTGATTTTTGAAATAGTATTATCCATTTTTTCACACCTGACACACAAGTTAAGCCCTCACCTTCTGTCGCTTCAGATTTATGTTTTGCATAACCTTGTTTCCGCTCTTTTGAATGAACTTTTTGGAAGTCAGTCTGCTGTGCCGAGTGTTGAAATGATAAAGATGTCACGCGACATCTATGGTCTGTCTCAGGTCCAGGAGGATTTGACTGAGGAGAAGAAGAGGGAGCTGGAACGTGACGCCGAGGAGCCTTACGCAGACAATGCCGAGAATGTATGTGTGCGTGCGTGGGCCGTGGGTGCCTGTGCGCGTGTTCAGGTGCTCGGGAGGTGGGTGTGTGTGTCTGGGGCGGGTACCGGTGGGCACCAGCGCCTCCAACTGTTGCTTAAATGAATTAGAGGTGACAAAAAATGGCAACTTTTAGCTATTCTTTCTGCACTAATTTCTGTAGACAACTTGCCTATATTAACTATATGGTTAGCATGCCTGGTACACCCAATTGTGAGAGCCTTAAAAAAAAAATCAGACCTAGGCGGGCACTAATCATATTTCTAATAATTATCAACAAGCTGAGCGGCCTTTAAAAATTTAACCTCTCTGAAGCTCAGGTTTGTTATCTGCAAAGTAAAAAGGTTGGATCGAGTAGGTCCACCCAGGCTGAGGGGACATCATGACAACACGAGGTGTGGAGAGGGGACAGCACCATTGCCTGGAGACTCGCCTCTCCCTGTTTCCTTGTCCCTGGTGTCGAGGGGTGACATCGGGCTGACTCCACAGCCTGCCTCCTGGCTTCTGCTTTTCCTTTCACATTCAGGCCGAGGGTAAGACCAACGAGGGCGAAGAGCAGGAAATCCGCGAGGACAGCCGCCCCACTGGCCGCGAGGAGCACTATGAGGAGGAGGACGAGGAGGACGACCGGGTGGCGGGTGCCAGGAAGCCCCGCGGAAAAGCCGAAATGTAGCCGCCCGTCTCCAGACAAGGCTTCACCAGTGGGCCCTGCCAGCCGCTCAGACCTCAGCCTGCCTGCTGAACTCGCGGGCATCGGAGTATAAGATGTTAGGGTTTAGACTTTTTCAAAGCTTTTGTATTAGAAACGCCCGTACATTTGTATGAATATATTTTGGTAACTTAGGCTAGAGCTTATTTTATATTTGAGCTAGACGTGAACAGAAAGAAAACAGCCCCGTGGACCTTAGGCGCCGGTCCCGTTTTTTGTAGATTCCGCGATGCTGGAGAAAGCGTTGAGTTTGTGTGTGATCTGACTTGGTGCCTTCCTGGCTTCTGCGCTCCAGGTGTCCCGAATTAGCCTTCGCCACAGTGCAGGACTCCAGAAGGGGGGAGGGGGGATGTCCCGTGGGCTCATGGCTGCCCCCAGAGTTCTAGTGTCTGGCTCCGAGAGAGTTCTCCCCAGCCTGTGGCTCTGGGGCGAGATTCACATGCCAAGGGACACCAACCAGAAAGCAGTTGTTCCCCAGACACTTCAGGACAGTTGGAGGAACGCTTGATGTTGCCTACAATCGCAGTGGTTCTGCTTGAGAGGAATGATGATGCTAAGTCTTCTGTGGCAGTAACCCGGGCCTAATCAGATGTGTCAGTGTCCAAACAAGGTATGGCCACATCAGCGTATTAACCGTGACTTGCTTCAAAATTAACTCGGCGTGTCTGTGTGGTGGTCTCTGGGTGAGCACCCGTTCTCAGTGCTTTTTTCTGAAGTCACCTGGTGCTGTCCTCTGTCAGTATCTAGTTCCCTGCAGTCACCTCCTTCCTTCTCAAGCTCTGTGCCTCTGGTGGAATCACATCGATGACAGATACGAATCAGGAGGCATACAAACGATACGGTGTAACCAGGTGACTTTTCAGAACGAGACGCGAAAGTATGCCTGGGTATATGATAGACCCTCATGAGTTTTCCATTTACTGGAATCGGGTAAGCTTTTTGCCTGTTTAAGGCATTTTAATGGCTATGAATTATTATAAATCCTTTTAAATAAGAAGCACAAAATTTCTTGTGAAAGGGAGACGAATTTCAGTCACAAGCATAAAGATCTTTGAATACATAGAACTAGATTATATGATTCGTATGTGTGTGGTTTTGTAAGAATACTCTCAGATTAAGTTTTAAAATTTCATTTTCTACCATTATTAGATGAATGGAGCGTTATGTTTAACCACCACACTCATATATGGTTTTGATTATCCCAGTTTGAGTGAGTGTGTATGTCTGCATAGGAATGTTCCGTTCAAATGTATTTTGGATTTACAATAATCATACATCTTACCCTTATGTACAAAAACCTTTTATGTAATGTAAAGTGTATAATATTGTACATAATATTCAGAATACAATTATTTTGGTAAATACAATTAGTTTGTATTTTTAATGTCCCAGTTGCAGTATTTAATTATTCGGACCATATTGAAACTTGATAATAGTCAATAAAGCTAAAAAGAGCAGGTGGCAAATCTTTTGAAGTATGTGATTTTTTAAATTAGTTTCTGATCTTCTGACAGCCTCCGTTCTTTTTTATGAAAGAAAAACTGTGAGAGGTAGCAACATAAATTAATGAACCATAAAATGCCCAACCTGCTCCTGTTTTCCTTATCTTTCTCTGCTTGGATCTGCCTGTGAATTTTTTCCCCATTTTGTAAAGAAAGAACTAAAAGTTTTTATTTTATTGGAGCTAGCTCTGGGGGAAGAGAATTTAAGAGAGTGGCACTTGCACACACACAAAGATGAATCAGAAACATCTTAAATCCCCCAGGCTAGCAGCAGTTGCAACCATTCAGCTCTGGGTTGGCACCTAATTACGGGACCATTCCAGCTTGTGTCGGGGAGAGCTGATCAGCCTGCACCAAGCCACGGTGTCGAGGGGAGCAGAAACAGAGTCACTTGAGTTTCTCCTGCCCGTCAGTCTGTGACTGATGTAGCCAGTAGATCAGAGGACCTGGCACCAGGGACAAAATGAGAAGGGAAAAGGACACGTTTATTTGTGGCATGTAACGAGCACAGAAAACTGCATCCGTACTCACACGGCCGGTAATCTGCAAGCGTGGTTTGGAAAGCATCTGGCAGTCAGAGCACACAGCCTCGGACATTGAGGCAGGAAATTATCGACGCCAATTTCAAGCCTGTGTGCACAGGACCCGCCCCCGCCCCCCCCCCCCCCCCC